AGCATTCAAAATCATTCAAAATACACAGACACAAAAACATAAAAGAGGGTAATAAAAAACTTCAAAAAGCAAAAGAAAATCACCTAATAGAGGTACTCCGGGTCTCTACTCCCAAAAATAATTGTTTCAAACTTTCAATGTCACTTCTCTAAAGCAGGACAGGAAATACATCTGCATAGCTGCCAATGCAGTCAGAAACAATGCAGGATCAAATCACCCATTCGCCCCTCCTTTCTCTCAGACAAACTCAACCAAGGAAAAAAAAATGTGTAAAAGGGAAAACAAACCGCACCTTCCCTCCCCCCTTTCTTACTTCTCTTATTCAGAACAAAAAGACGGGGGAAATATAGAGAAGAAAAATACTACTCCTGTCTCTAATTAACATCGCAAATACCTCTACCTAATCCTACTTCTCCATAGGATCTCTCTCATCTCTCACTTGCTCATTCAAACACTTGCTATTACAACATAACAACAACTACAACAACAAACTCTTGCCACTCACTATTTCAATATACAAAGGAAATTTCTCAGGGGTTCAACGCACAGGCATTCACAAATATCAGGATCACCTTACCACCCCCATTTAAGGGCTTACCACACACACTCATATTTATTCTGCAATCAGACCTTTTAGTGTATTCCAACACACACATGCCTTTTCCCTGCCAATTAGTCAGCATAAATACTTCAGGGAGCTTTATTATCATTCTCAGTATTATTATTTTTTACAAGACAATGAGCTCTATTGCCTAAACAACTCTCATTACACACACATACCATTTAACAACATTTGCAAACCTGGAATAAAACCTGGAAAGGTTCCATCCCTTCAGATACCCATTTCAGTTTTATCCTTGACATCTTGTAGCCCATTCCTCAAGCAGTGGAAAACTTCAGGATGCGGTTTTTAATCAAAAACTTGATTTCGGGCCCTAACCACACCTGTCCTCCACAGCTCCAGGCCTAAGCCAAGAAGGTCACTTAATTAGCCGGCACACACATATCACCATCACATCACATTAATCAAAGACAAAATATTCGCATTCAACCTCAGGTAGGAAGAACAATAAACCTTCCTTACCACATTCCTACAGAGTTTTCTGCCTCATCCAAGAACAATAAAGATCTGTATACCAAGCTCACATCCCAGAAGAGACAATGCATCTCTCCCAAGCAGATTAAGACCTACTTCTAGAACAAATATCACATCCAAACATATAATACACTTTCCACAACTCAATTTCACATTCTTCAACAATGGCACATCAAAAGGTATACCCTTGACACCCCTTTATCTTAATAGTTACACCTGTGGGATGCACTCCTCTAGGCAATTTACAGATATAGGTTCTAATCACACCCGTATCTATTAGAAACACATGATCTTCCTCTTCTGGACCCACTAATCATCCTCTTCTCAGGACAAACTAGCAAAATGCCTCTCCTTTACACACACAAAGCACTTTTTGCTTTCCAATCCACCAACACTAGACTTCTTTCCACTGGAGTAATCCTCTCCCAATTCCAGGACACTGTTGCCACATTGCAACCAAAGTTTCACAAAACCTTTTCCTCTTCTACCTAACTCCTTTCCCTCTCCTGTCTGTTGCAACACAGACACCATCATTCATCATTTCTTTCCTTCTTTTTCTCTTCTAGTCTTGGCCTCGTCCCTATTCACATAGACCCTTTAAGCTTCTTTCAACAGAGCAGCAATATCAGTAGTAGCTTCTGTATGTCTGGCCATGATTTCGTCACAAATTTCATTTTCATTAAGGACTCATAAGCCGGTGTTTCAGGAGAAAGACCAGTGTGCTTATTCAAATTGTCCTTAATATTTTCCAGAAACACAGACGGTGTTTCTTCCCACAACTGTTCCACCTCAAAAACTTTTGTTTCTTCCTTAAGGTACAGCTGTCTTAACTCCCTCCATTTGTTCCTGATCAGCTAAATTATTATTGTTCCAACCAGGATCAACTAATGGAGACTTAACATCTGCAGCAACGGGCTGAACAGCCCCCACTTGGGTTTAATCCCAAAAAAAACCCATAGCTGCCTTTCGAATTTGTGACCTCTCCTCAGGGGAGAACAAATAACCCAATATATGCTGTAACTCTGCAAAAGTATACAGATTGGGTCTCAGGAATAAATCCAATGACTCAGACAACGTGATCAGATCCGCCTATAAAGACGGCATGTTTCTTTTATAATCTTCCAGATCAGAAGATGTCAAAGACTCATTCACAAAAGCCGCAATACCATTCGGCATTCCTCTTAAAGGAAACATTCCTTTAGTTTGTGAACATGTAACATGAGGAGAAGTGGATGGATTCTGTTTCACAGTTACTGACAATTCACCCAACTCCTTCTCCAGCTACCTATATTACTGCCCTGCTGAAGTCTCTTCCTTTCTGTTCCCAGCAACAACATCAATTTCACCCACAACTTGGATTATACGAAGGAGGGGGAGGTGGGCATGTAGCATAAACTAAAGGATCCCAACCTTCCTCTTCTTCCTTCCCATACAAAACTCTAGAACTTCTCGGGGAAGAGGGGTTAAACTACTGAACATGGAACTGAGGTTCAACATATAACAATTGAACTTTCAACTTCTTTTTTCACCAAAACTTTCTTCAAAGCATTGATCCAATATGAGTCTGACTCCACAAACTTACTCCACATATAATTAGGCTGTATCAACACAAATGTCAGCCAAACCTCCTTACAATAATTAATCATAGTCACCTTATCTAATACCTTTGTACAAGCTTCCAACCAATCCTCTAACCACTGTACTAACCATTTCCCTAATGGAGATATGGGGGATGGAGGATATTTCAGTCTCAGCAGCACTTTTCCCTAGTAAAGGCCCCATACTTTCCCCAACCTGTATTACACTAATTATACACACAAATCATACAGGCCATACACACACAAACATACACAACCAAACCACCAAAGAGAAAACATATACTCACTCCTGGTGCACCGAAGTCTTCAGGAACGTTCCTCTCTGTCCAGGCATTCAGGTCTCTGCCTCAAGGTTCATAGAAAAGCAATTCCGGCTGGAAAGGAAATAACCCCATCTCACTGAAATCAGTGTTTGTGCGCATGTATCAGGGAATTCCACCATTCCAGACAGAATGTTTTCAGTCCCTTCGGGCACCAATTGTGGTCGACAGGTAAATCCCATTATCGTTTTAAAGAGACAAAGACCAAAATAATCCTGGAACAAAGTTTATTCTTTGCAAAGGGCCTTTCTCTCTAAAGTAGAGAAAGACGAAAATAAAACAATTTACACAAGTTTTTATAGTCTTCAGGAACATCAGAATACACGTCAATAAAGTACCTTGGGAATCAGTTCCAGATCTTACATAACATCTTATATAACATATGCAGTACATAATTCCACCCTGGAAATTCCCCAATTCCCAACAGACATACCCCCAAAAAACATCAATTGCGTACTTCCTTTAATTAATAAGGGCAAGTTAACCCAAGAACATATTTCCTGCAAGACAAACATCCTCTAAAAAACACAGGAATTACACATTTCCTTTCTCATGTTCTTAAATGTCAGCTAAATTATATAATCAGGTTATACAAGGTAAAACAAAACCTTAACATGATTTCAAAATGGCGTAACTCAGGTTATGCTTTTACAGGAATAATTCTTATTTTTCTCACACTTAACCAATTCCGTTTTTAAAAATTAAAGTCATTTCTGTATGGCATTACAGCAGAGGATTGAATAATGTATGACTATTAGATTAGTTAAAAATGGCTAAAATTCTGCCCTCAAGCGCATGAGATGCTCTGTCATAGTACTGGTTACAGATTTACAGATTACAGATTAGTAGAGTTGTAAGGGACCTTGTAGATCATCTAGTCCAACTCCCCACCCAAGCAGGAGACCCTACAACATTTCTGACAAATGGCAGTCAAATCTCTTCTTGAATGACTCCAGTGATGAAGCTCCCACAACTTCCGAAGGCAAGCTGTTCCATTGGTTGATTGTTCTCGCTGTCGGAAAATGTCTCCTTATTTCCAGGTTAAATCTCTCCTTCTTTAGTTTCCATCCATTATTCCTTGTCTGACTTTTAGGTGCCTTGGAAAATAGCTTGACCCCTTCCTCTCTGTGGCTGCCCCTCAAATATTGGAACACTGCTCTCATGTCTCCCCTGGTCCTTCTCTTCACTAGACTAGCCATGCCCAGTTCCTGTAACCATTCTTCATATGTTTTAGTCTCCAGTCCCCTAATAATCCTGGTTGCTCTCCTCTGCACTTTTTCTAGAGTCTCAACATCTTTTTTATAGTGTGGTGACCAAAACTGGATGCAGTATTCTAGGTGTGGTCTTACTAAGGCTTTATGGAGTGGTATTAGTACCTCACTTGATCTTGATTGTATCCCTCTGTTAATGCAGTTTAGGATTGTATTGGCTTTTTGGGCTGCCGCTGCACACTGCTGACTCATATTTAGCTGGTTGTCCACTAGGACTCCAAGATCTCTCTCACACTTACTGCTATTAAGCCTGGTTTCACCCAGTCTATATGTGTACTTTTGGTTTTTCTTGCCTAAGTATAAGACTCAGTGGTGGGTTTCAAATTTTTTTACTTCCGGTTCTGTGGGTTTGGCTTGGTGGGCATGGCATGGCTTGATAGGCATGGCTTGGTGGGCATGGCAGGGGAAGGATACTGTAAATTTTTTTTTAAGTGTTTTTAAGTGTTTTGTTTATTGTTTTTAATTAATGGGGCCAAATTTATATATGTATATTTTAACTGTATTTTAATATTTGTATTTGATGTTTTTACTTGGCTGTTCACCGCCCTGAGTCCTCAGAGAGAAGGGCGGTATACAAATTCAAAAATAAATAAATAAATAAATAAAAAATCTCCATTCTCACCCCACTCCGGGAGAAGGATACTGCAAAATCCCCATTCCTGTCAGGCGTGCCTCCTTTCAAATTTCAGGAAAGAATGACCCCGACTCCTTTTTCATGGAAAAAGGTACTTTTACTAAAATAGAATTGAATGCAGCCAAGGAAAGCAAGATCTGAGACAATAGGCGCGAAAATCACATATAGAAAGCATCCCCTCCCAAGTGTCCAGCGTAAATCATCCAATCCAAAGGTCCTCCAGAGGTCAGGTGGAATCACACATCTGGCAGTGTCATCAATCTGGAATGTCAGCAGATAGCAGCTTCAAAGGCACAGGACTGCAGCTAAGATTCGGTTTCGTTTCTCCATACTCCTTCACCAGCACGCTTCCCCATCTAGCAATTTCCTAACTCCCCCTCCCCCCCTTTTCCATGGCAGCCGACAAGCAAGCATTGAAAAGATTGGAGGCTGACATTCGGCACCCCTTCAAAAGAGATATTATTCCTGGAAAATATAAAAGGGAGACAAACATACAATATGTACAGGGAGCAAACGATTAAGGTTTATCAGGATAGTTGGTATAAAATTATTGGACTTTCTTCAGGGCTCAAACATCTTTTTTATTTACCCTTTCAGCTTTTGACAATGGGAAATGTTTCCAAGCCACCAAATACTGCACCTTACCACGATGCTTCCTAGAATCCAAGATTTCCTTGACCTCAAAATGTTGTTCACCTTCAATCAGAATGGGGACAGGAGGAGGTTCTTGGCCTGGGCGCAAAGGGGAGGAGTGTTCCGGTTTGAGAAAACTGACAAGGAACCATGACTGGATTAATTACCCGCACTATCGGGAAAGGGCCCACATATTTGGGTCCAAGCTTTTTCGGAATCTTCTCCTCCCCCTCTATGTGGTCTATTGCTGTTTCTGCCTCCTTGTGTTCCCCTCCGTCCTCCGGAAGGGGTTCTTTCCTGTGTTTTCCTGGTTTCTTGGAGCGAATGCGCAAAACTCCCTTCCTCCAATTAATGCACAGGTTCCATTTACGGAGCCATGGTAACCCAAGTATGAGGGGTCGCTCCATGCCAGGGGCCACGATGAAACTAAGAGTCACTAGATGATCCCCCAACTGCATCTCGATGGGTTCAGTCACAAAACTGGCTGGGCCCCCTCCTGCCACTGATCTGTCTAGCTGACAGAAAACGATGGGCCTTCTCAATGTTCTTAGTCTTAGGCCCATCTTTTCCACCACTTTTGAGTTGATTATGCACCTAGTGCATCCAGAGTCTACGAGGGCTGGAATCTGCCTGTGAGCCCCGGTGGATGGCACCCTTAATTTTACAGAGATGATCATGGGACCCCCATTGTGACTCATCAGGTCGTCAGCGGACTCAGTGTCCGCCTCGCTGTCGTTGCGATGGTCGGAGTTCCCAACTCACCCTGTTTTCAGGGAGCAAACTCAATGACTTCTCCTTTCAGGGTGGGCTCGCGGGTTTTTGTGGGAGCTTTGTCAGCCTTCTTCCCTCTGGGGCCGGTTGATTTTGATGCTGGCTTGGAGAAACACTCAGCCGCTCAGTGTCCTTCCTTTCCACATTTGAAACACACAAAGGATTTGGCTTGGGTTTGGACTTTGTCTTCCCCACTGCTGTCTTTGGCACCCCCTTACAGAAAGAGGAGGATGACTGATCCCAGGCGCGGCCACCACGGATCTGGCTTCAGGCCAGGTCAATCTCTACATCCACTGTTACCACGTACCAGCTCTGCAGATCTTTGGGGACCCCGCGTGCTCTGCAATCCTTGTAAATGTCCTCATTCAATCCATCTTTATAGTTTTCTAATAGGGATGCCTCTGACCACCCTCTCATGAAAGGGGCCAGATCGCAGAACTCTTGAGTGTACTCTGCCACTGATCTCTGGCCCTGGTGAATGCCCTTAATTCTGATTCTCGCTTTCCGCTCGGCTAGGGAATCCTCAAAGTGTGTTCTGAGGGCTCCCATAAAGAGGTTGTAATTTCTCAGCAGGAGGGAGTTGTTATTGTGAAGGCCCACCATCCATTCGGCTGCCACCCCCTCTAGGGCATTTGTAACGCTCCTTACGCGAGCTGCATCCCACAGATAGTCCTCCCCCCAGTCCTGCATGTGGTTCCACACTTGGATTAAAAAAAATGCCAAGGTTTTCGGGTCTCCTCTGAACTTGTCTGTTATTGGGGGGGGGAATTTTTGGCTTTCTTCGCCTCTGGGGTGGAGCCTGCAATGCTAGCGCCCCCTGGACTGCCACATCTCTCGCCAGAGATTCAGAGGCTTGAGACGTTCCTTCCCCAGCTTGCTCTTCCTCTCCCCCACAAGCAGCCATCTCTGGGTCTTCCCCGGGGTGGTTTCCTCCCTCCCTTCCCAATTGGGTAAACATACCTCTCCTGGGTCTGGCGGCTGGCTTCGGAATCCCTGAGAAGTTGCATAGCTTGGGCAACCATGAGGCTTTCTTTCTGCTCTTGCATCCATGCCGATTCCCCTCTCAAGGGTCTGGCACTTGTTACTCCTTGGGGGGTCCTTCCCCAGTCCGGTAGCCTCCCCACTCCAGTCGACCATCTGGCTCGCTCTGTTTCCTCTCTCAGTCATAATTTTGCCATCCATTCCAAAGTTTCCCCCTCTGGGTGGAGGGAAAGAATTGTAGAGCCCACAGATCCCATCTGGTCCTGATCACTATCTTGATCTGACATCGTCTGGTTTTCAGCCCCCTCGGTAGTTATCTGGGATGGCTGTAAAAGTGAGATCTTGCTTAATGTCAGGCGTGCCTCCTTTCAAATTTCAGGAAAGAATGACCCTGACTCCATTTTCATGGAAAAAGGTACTTTTACTAAAATAGAACTGAATGCAGCCAAGGAAAGCAAGATCTGAGACAATAGGCGCGAAAATCACATATAGAAAGCATCCCCTCCCAAGTGTCCAGCGTAAATCATCCAATCCAAAGGTCCTCCAGAGGTCAGGAGGAATCACACGTCTGGCAGTGTCATCAATCTGGAATGTCAGCAGATAGCAGCTTCAAAGGCACAGGACTGCAGCTAAGATTTGGTTTCGTTTCTCCATACTCCTTCTCCAGCATGCTTCCCGATCTAGCAATTTCCTAACTCCCCCTCCCCCCCTTTTCCATGGCAGCCGACAAGCAAGAATTGAAAAGATCAGAGGCTGACAATGCCTCTCAAGTCCCCTCCAATCAGCTGGGACTTGGGAGGCAGAGAATAGATGGGGGCGGGGCCAGTCAGAATGTTTACTACCGGTTCTCCAAACTACTCAAAATTTCCACTACCAGTTCTCCAGAACCAGTCAGTACCTGCTGAAACCCACCTCTGATAAGACTTTACTTTTCTCTACACTGAATTTCATTTTGTTAGATAAGGCCCAGTGTTCAAGTCTATGAAGATCCATCTGGATCTTGAGCCTATCTTCTAGGGTGTTAGTTATTGCTGCCAGCTTAGTATCATCTGCAAATTTGATGAGTTCCCCTTCTACTCTCTCATCTTAATTGTTTATGAAGATATTGAAGAGTATCAGGCCTAAGATGGAACCTTGTGATACCCGATTGCTTACTTCCCTCCATGTAGACGTAGACCCATTAAGGACTACTCATTGAGTATGGTTTGTCAGCCAGTTACAAATCCGTCTGATGGTGATGCTATCTATGCCACTTTTTTCTAGCTTAACAAGAAGTAGGTTGTGATCTACTTTGTTGAATGCCTTGCTGAAGTCTAAGTATATTATGTCCACAGTATTTCGCTGGTCTACTAATTTAGTCACTATGTTGAAGAATGAAATAAGATTGGTTTGGCATGATCTATTTTTAACAAACCCGTGCTTTTATTATATAGTTATATGTAATATACATTGTTTCTTATGAACTATTTTCCCCATTTATCCATTTTTTAAATCAAAGTAGGCTGTGATCAAAGATTAATAATAAAATAGTTAGAAGCATTAATAAAAACAGTCAAAGAAACTAAAGCTAACTAAAGCTAACTAAAGTAATCTACACCTAACACAGATGTGAATAATATATTCTATGTTCTCTCATGCAGGGTGCAGGGTGCAACTGAAAATGGTTTTCCAAGCCAATTAATATGGAATTTGTGATTGAAGCCATGGGATTTTAAAACAGAATGCATTTGGTCAACTATGAGGCTATAAAGGTATCCTGAAATATCAGGAATGCAATAAAACCATCAAAATAAATGAGTGTGACACAGTATTTCTAGGCAGCAGAGCTGGTTCCAGATATTTATTGAAACCAGCCTTAGCACTTAGCACTTAGACTTATATACTGCTTCACAGTGCTTTTAAAGCCCTCTCTAAGTGGTTTACAGAATCAGCATATTACCCCCAACAATCTGGGTCCTCGTTTTACCCACCTTGGAAGGATGGAAGGCTGAGTCAACCTTGAGCCCGGTGAGATTCGATATGCCAAATTGCAGTCAGCCGGCAGTCAGCAGAAGTATCCTGCAGTACTGCATTCTAACCATTGTGTCACCTTACTCTTTAGTAAGTAAAGATAAAGGTAAAGATTCCCCTCGCACATATGTGCTAGTCATTCCCGACAAGTAGTTGAATGATAATAGGACACATAGGCACATTGAGCCCTTAAAAACTTTGACTGAACAACTTCAAAGAGATCTTGATTGCAATATTAGGAAAGTAGTAAACTGTAGATCAAATAGCTCATAGTATTGCTGTATAGATCATGACTGCTGCTTTAGAATGGTCTTTGCCACTATGAATGGCAAAATGCAAAGTAACATTTGCAGGACAATAGACACACATACCACTATTTCCTTTGTTTAGTTCCAAGATATTAAAGCACCAAATATATTTCAAGATATTTTAATTACTAAATTTGACTAGTGCTAATGTTCACATATGCTTCTGTATGACAAGGTTTATAGCAAATATAGCTATTTTCATTTTATTATGATAATGAACCATTCTCTGCAAGAGAAATTACCCTGGCATACCATTCTTCATCAAGATGGGCCTACCCACCTTTACACTTGTTGTTAGAAACACCCCAGAATAAATTAAAGAAGTTGCTGGTTGTTTCATCTTATTATCCTGAATGGGTCGGTTAAGGGAGACAGCTATTGAGTTTTCCTGAATATTATTTCCAAATGGAATCTCTCTTTTTTTAATGCCAATTGCACAGATAAAGACTGTATTCTATTAGTCCCCAAACTAGCAGTAAAAGCTCTTGTCCAATAATAGAGGTCCCAAGGTCAAATAAATTCTCATCTAGAAAAGAAAGGTTCTGTGAAGGAAGAAGCCCACCTCCATCACTCCATCTAGAGCAGCGGTTCTCAACCTGGGGGTCGCGACCCCTTTGGGGGTCGAACGGCCATTTCACAGGGGTCACCAAAGCCCTCTCTCACCCCCCCCCCCACGCCTTCACTCACCCTCACCCTCTGCCTCTGTTGGATCACCGGTCGCCGGTCGCTTACCCTGCCCACTCCCAATCTATTGCTGCCTCCGGAGTCCCAGCTGATGGCTAGAGGGAAAAAAACTTTAAATTCTTGCCGTGGGGCTTCAAAGGGCCGCCCTACAGCTGATCAGTGTTAAAAGAAAACAAATGAATAGACTGGTGCCTGCAAAAATAGAAAAAACAGCCCCTTTCAGCTTCAGCATAGATTAATTACCATAAATTGATTTGATCAGCTTCCCCACTCTCAGCTGATTTGCTCTCAGCTGTTTTGCGGAGGGCTCTGTTGCTAGCTAGCTGCAAAGAGGTAAATTCCTGGAGCAGATATTTTTTCCCCTAGCTATGCTGAAAAAGCGAAATTGAAAGTAAAGCAGGGTCTTTGCTGCAAGGTGACAAAATGAGGCAGAGAGAGATTTTTTTCTTTTTCTTTTTCCTCACCAAAAAAGGTAGGTGCAAAACTGCAAACAATGGGAAATTTAGGGCAAAAGAGGAGGTTCAAGATTTTAAAACACAAAAGAAAAAAAGCTCTATTTAACTAGGGAATTGTAATAATTGAGATACTATTAATTGTATATTGTGTTGAAAGCAGAAATGGTTAAGTTGTGGTTTGGAGGAATATACAGGGAAAATTATTTGGTTTATTATTATTGGTAAATATAATTAATTGATTTGTAAGAAATTGGATTGCATGGAAATAATTGGAATATTCATGTTCATATTGATTAATATACAAAAAAGATAGTTATATAACTAATTGATTTATATTAAAATGTTGAATTTGTATTAAACAACTGTATTACATAATTACATAATTAACCAATGTGAGGATGGATATAAAAATAGATGACAATACGAAGGGGTATAATATAGAATAGAAGGGAAAAATTGAATTTGATTAAGATTAGAGATGAGGATGAAGGGTAATATTGGTTTTTTAAAAAAATAGATGAGGAATAAATATGGTAAAAAGGAAATATAGAAATTGTAAATTTAATTGAAATGACTAAACACTGTGTTGGAAGAAATATCCTTCTGGGTTCTGCTCCAAGTGGGGAAAAAGACACTGGAAACATGGAGACTGCTTGGAAAGATGGTTTAATGGTGGACAGGATCACATGGCTTGAGTTCCTGAACAGAAAAGGGGCAGATACAGTAAATCCTCGGGTTTTTATGCTCTCTCTGGTTTTGCATTTCTTGGGGCCCCGAACGAGTATCCTGATTGGTTGTCAGACTCCCAGGGGGTGGGGATCTTAGCTAGCCTTGCTGGCTGATGGTCACATGTGCTTCCCAGGTCACATGTGGTGAGTTTTGGTTGCTAGATGGGGCCCATTGTGTTAGTTTCTGTTGCTATTGTGTTGCAAATGTCCTTTGACAAAGGATTGACTTTCTGCCTCTGGCCCATTAACAAAGGGTGGGGGGCAGGAAGGTGGGAGCTGCTTTGTCTGTAAAATATGCTTCTCCATTTCTCATCCAGGGAAATATAATATTCTGCCTTTTTAATATTTCCCAAAATATTTTATTCTTCTAGGAAAGGGGTGGGTGCTAACCTCCTACAACTGTTTAAATTTGTGAACCGGCCAAATACTCTGTTCAAAGAAAATACGTTGTATGTTTGTATGTGTGTTTCTAATTATTGCTATTTATTGCTATTTGTTCTCTTTTATTCTTTAAAGTTTAACAATTCATTTTTTATCTTAATATCTTTATATTTGTTTGGGGTTGGCTTTCTTCCCTTTCATCTTTTTTATTGTACAGCAATCTTTCTCCTCAAACCTACCACCTCTCTCTTTTCTTTCCTTCTTACTTTCTCTTCCCCCCTCTTCTTCTTCTCCCTACTTCCTCTTCCTTTCTCCTTCTCCTCCTCTCTTCCTCCCTCTCTTACCCTCACTCCTACTCTAATTTCCCTTCCCTTCCTTCATCCCTCTCTATTGCTGTATCCTTTTATGCATATGGACTACTCAGAGGGCTGAAAAAGTTATTTTTGACTGGTCCTCGCATTTTTGACCAGTCCTCAAACTTACGACTGTCCTCACAATTTACGTTTTTGCCCTATCTTGTCACCATGATGAAGAGAAGCAGTTGTGAAATGAGTGACACGGTTGTTAAGAATGCTACAATGGGCATAAATGATGACCACTCATAACTGCGAAGACCGGTCAAAAGTGCGAGGACCTGTCAGAAATCACTTTTTTCAGCCCTCTGGGTAGTCCTTTTATGCACAGGGACTACTCAGAGGGCTGAAAAAGTTATTTTTGACTGGTCCTCGCACTTTTGACCAGTCCTCAAACTTACGACTGTCCTCACAATTTACGTTTTTGCCCTATCTTGTCACCATGGTGAAGAGAAGCAGTTGTGAAATGAGTGACATGGTTGTTAAGAATGCTGCACTGGGCATAAATGTGAGAATGGTCATAAGTGTGAGGACCAGTCAAAAGTCTGAGGACCTGTCAGAAATGACTTTTTTCAGCCCTCTGAGTAGTCCCTATACACATAGCCATGGCCACCCGGTCACATGACCAGCTAGCCATGCCCACCCAGTCACATGACCTCCAAGCCACGCCCACAAAATAAGCCACGCCCATAGAACCGATAATAAAAAAATTTAGAACCCACCCCTGGTTGGGGGTCACCACAACATGAGGAACTGTATTAAAGGGTCGTGGCATTAGGAAGGTTGAGAACCACTGATCTAGAGCTTTAGCTCTGGTTAGGGACTTTTGATTGTTAGTATCTAGCACTTACTATGTTTTGGATAAAATTCCAAATAATACTCCTAGGCCAAGGTCCTTGTTTGGTAAAGCTTGAAAAAAAATCATTAAGGTGTCAGAGCCTATACCGTTTCTGACTTGAGCTAGTTTTCCATGCATTTATCAGAGATGAAACAATTCTATAAAGTTCTATGAAAAAAACAAAAAACAAAATCTCAAAGGACTCAAAGACTGTGGAAAATGCTCTGCTTAATAGCAATAATAAATCTTCTGTAGTCTGGTTTTTTATCCAAATAGATTATCTGATATAGATCTAAAAGTTTGGTTGAACGTTTTATGTTATACAGTGATGATTAAAAATTATGAATCCTTTGAATTTTCAAAATTTCCAAATAAATGTGAATTAAAATGTAGTCTGTTCTCCATACAAGTCCTAAAACTAAATAAAAAGAACTCAGTTAAACAAATGAATAAAAAGCATTATATTTGTTCCTTTATTTATTGAGGAAAATATGTGAATAATCAGAAGGGACACCTCTATGTAACAGGATTTGTCTCTTTCAGGTTTTCTTATGGCTGGAATGCTTAGTGAAGATCCAATGACTACATGTGAAGAGATAGAGTACAATATAAGTCTCTTTTCCCCTTATTATCCCATTTGTAATCAAACAATATTATTGATTGTCTCAATAGATCAGAAAGAGAGATGAGTAGGAACTGGCCACTTTTGTGTGTCATATTCATATTAAAAGGACAGAATGGATGTATCAGTTTCATTTTAAAATTAATTAATACTTTTGATTAGATTCTCTTTTGTTTTGACTTAGATGTAATACAATGAAAGCTAGTTTAGTATAATTGTTGGATGATTTTAGGTCCATCTTTTTATTTATTTACTAACTACAGGTAGCCCTTGATGTATGACCACAATTGACCCCAAAATTTTCATTGCTAAGCAAGACAGTTATTAATTGAGTTTTGCCCTATTTTATGTAAATTTTTTTGCAACAGTTTTTAAGTGAATCACTGCAGTTCTAAATTACTAACACTTTTGTTACTGGATCTGTTTCCCCTTTGACTTTGCTTATCAGAAGTTTGCAAAAGATGATCACATGACCCTGGGACACTGCAGCCATTATAAATACATGCCAGTTGCCAAGCACCTGAATTTTGATCACATGATCATGGGGATGCTGCAACGGTTATAAGTATGAAAAATAAATCACTTTTTTCAGCGATGTTGTAACTTCAAATGATTACTAAACAAATGATTGTAAGTTGAGAACTACCTATAAAAAGGAGAGATATGTCCACCTCCAAAATATTTACAGGTATACAGCTAATTACTTAAGTTATACAATTAATGCTCGAAATAACATTAATAAAAGATTAGCACAGTGCATTTAAGTGTTTTCATTTTTAAAAATAAATATGATTCTTTTGAACCTAAAAGTAAAATCTCCACTATATTATTAATTGTTGTTCTAATCATTTAGTCATGTCTGAGTCTTGGTTACTTTATAGAGCTTTCTTTTGCTAATTGGGTCTGCATGCGGAAAAGGCCTTCATCCTGTAGTGTTGTGGATTTAATAAGACAAACGCAACTTTTGGATTAATCAGAGACAATTTGTATATTGCGCAATAGTTTCAAAGCTCTGTACACGAAGCGTTGAACAAAGACAGAAATTAGGTACAATGGTTTTATACCCTTCTAGACAAAGGATTCTGTTAACTCAGCAATTCATATGGTCATATACATTTGTCATTTTTAATTGACATTTCCTAATTACTGAGTTTCTTTGCAAAGCAGTTATAATTCTTTTTGTAGATTACTGAAGCATAGACTCAAATCATCTTCTGACGATAGACAACTTTTAACTCATGTGGATCCCCTTGACCTAACCAACCTTTAAGCTGTATGTCATTAGAATGTTCCTTTCTTCTGACAACTTAGAGGCCTCCTAGAGGTACCAAAAGGATTTTGGCTGAGTTTGTACTTTTTCCAACCGGATGCATTACTTTTTAGAATAGAGTGAATAGAAAGTTATCCAGTGGTCATCTATCAGAGCCCGCTTCATTTACATTAGTAGTGGATAGACAACAGCTAAAACTGATGATAGACTTTATATATAAACTTTATATTATTAATTAGATATATCTTATAAGTAAAAAACTAAAAGAAGGAAAGGGAAGGGAAAGGAACACAAGGGAAAGGGGGGAAGCAAAGCAAAGCAGAGCAGAGCAAAGCAAAGCAAAGCAAAGCAAGCTCCCATTTTAGAATAAAATTTGTGAAATACTTTATTTGATAAAAGTTCAGCACTTATATAAAATGACGTACCTAAAGTCAGCATGAAATTACTTTTCAATTTGCATTTACACATGCTCAAAATAATACATTTTCTTTTCACTAGTTCAATCAAAAGTTTTGATTGCTTTTCATTTGACTAAGAATGGACTTTGATAATAAGCCATTCCTCTTCTCCCCCATGCTACTGCTGTTTTTATAAGTGAAATCTAATTCCCATCTTCAAGGTACCTTTCTTAATTTTAGAGTATCAGAAAATTCTGTTCCAGTAATGATTTCTTTTTTTAATTTCCATTTGTTATTAACATGAAAAATGCTCTCACAGAAACTGAAGTTTTAAACACTTGGTTTTAATTTTGCTAGCTACTTTTAGTAATGGTGACTACTAAAAAAAAAATCCTTTACAAATATAAAATATATAAAATTGAATATCCATTTCATGTATACATTTTCTATCAGGATGTCCATAAAAATAACTTCTGGTGGAACTCTCACCTTTGAAGGCATGGGAGCTTCTAGCTTTCCTACAGACTCTCCACAGTTCAAGGCTTAGAATGCTTTCTAAGTCAGAAGACCCCTCCCCCCCTTGGATAGGGGGAAACTTTAGAAATCAACCCTTTTGCTCCCTTGAGAAGCTGGGGTCTCTCAGACTGCTTCTTGAAGAAAAAGAAAAAGTAATCCGGTGAGTACCGGTTGGGGCGGGGCAACCAAGCAAGTTCACCGTGGAAGAATGAGTTGTTTTTAATAGACAATAAAAGGTGCCACCTCTTCTTTTTTGCATAATTATCTTTCATGCTGAAAGAGGCTTTCTCTAGTTGCAGCCTGCCATTTCCTTTTTTGTAGAATTATCATCATTTTTGAGGTTTTGTGATTTAAATTGGAGAGAGGGAGGAGCTGAGATATCCGAGCCAGACTAAGAAGCCTGATATAATTCAAAACTAAAGCAATGTGGAAACTATTCCTGAAATTATTCTAGTAATTTTTGGCTTAAATCTTACAGAGAATTTTATATCATTAGGGGACTCAACAGACTTGGTTTTCAGAGTTTAAACAAGAATTCTCTGTATGAAGTGTGGAGACTGTTGTGGGGGGGAATAGTTTTGTTTTTAACAGCTTCTGATTGGTCATTTGTGGTCATCTGTGGTAAAGCTCTGAATTTTTTTGAGGCCTTTTTATATACAGTAAATAGTGCTGATTCACCACAAGAGGCAGCCAATAGAGTATAGTATTGCTAACTCTTTTTAAGAACACTATTAGTCTTATAGTGTAATTTAGGTTTCAAGCCTATAACTCTAAAACTTTTAACTTTAAAACTTAATTTTTTTAATTTTAAACCCAAAAAGATGGTGATGAGGAAGAAGACAGAGAAATTAGAATGATTATCAGGAGATATAGAACTTTTAAAGCCATTTATGGATGTCAAAAACTCATGAGCATATTCAAAATGTCAGAGTAAAGCTGGAAGCTAAGTTTGATTTGCTAGCAAGGGAACTCCGGGAAGAAATCCAATGTCTGAAAGAAGATATGAAAAGGTGAAAGCCAGAGTAGATTGTATGGACTATGGATTGGAGAAGACAAACTCTTTATGTGAAGCTGAATTAGATGAAATAACAACTCTTGAAGCTCAGATTAAAGAATTTCAATTAAGATGTTGCAAGATTTTAAGGATCAGACTCAATAATTGATTTAAGAATAAAGTATTCAAACAAAACACTGTTTATTTACAGTAGGCATTCTATATTCACTGAATAATCACAGATAGAAGCCAGGAGGAGGTGCATACAGCTCCTTTTATATACACAAGGCGGAGCAAGATATGGGAGTGGTTAAATATGAATATATTAAATGATGAAGAATAAGTTAACCCCTAATACCCCGGTTATATACTATTTACATATTGGAGAATAAGGCATTTACTTGTGACAAATCCCCCTCTAAATGCCGATTCGATATACAACAATAATTACATTCAGATTCAGAGCAGTATAAAACTTGCAATTTTGAAGTCAAGTATTTGTGTTGTTTAGAAGGTAAAGGCTTTGTCAATATGTCATCTATTTGCTCTGATGTTTCGCAATGGACTGCTTTAATAAATCCATCCTGAGATAATTGTCTCACGTGCTTGAATTTTATATCTATATGTCTGGATCTTTGACCAATAGCATCAGATCTAGATATTTCAATAGCAGCCTTGTTATCTTCGTGTATGATAAATGGTAATGAAGGTTTCTTCCAAGTATTTGACAATAAATCATTAAACCATACAAGATTGTTGGAGGCTTTAGACAAACAAACATATTCTGCTTCAGTCGTTGAGGTGGCCACTAAATCTTGTTTTCCAGTGTACCAGTAAACTGGACAATCGTTAAGAAAAAATATATAACCAGATGTGCTTTTTCTACATATAGTATCACCTGCCCAATCCGCATCAGCATAACTTGCGAGAATGGGCTCTTTCACATTATTAGGTTCCAATAATAAACAGAAGTCTAAGCTATTCTTTAAGTATCTTAATATTCTTTTAACGGCTTCCCAATGATACAATAAGGGTTTGCTGACGTACCTGGATAACAAATTGGGGGGCAAAGCAATATCAGAAATATATAGAAGGGAACCAATAACTGATCTGTAGAGTGTATTATCCTTAAATTCGGGGGATGATTCATCTATGTTCCTCAAAAAGTCAGTTTGCATAGGAGTGTCACAGGACTTAGCATTGTTTAAATTACACTTGTTTAGGAGTTCTATAATCTTATCTTTCTGAGAAAGTTTGAATCCTTTTTTGGTTTTACTGATTTGAACTCCAAGATACTTATTTACCTTCCCTAATGATTTTAAAGAAAAATGTTCATTTAGTTTTGTTACAAATGTCTCTCTCTTTTCTTTATGTTTACCTATATACAAAATATCATCCACATAAATTAACACAAATTCTAATGAGTCATCCTCCTTTTTGACAAAGAAACAGTTGTCAGCAGTAGTAGCATTGAAATTCATAGTTCTGAGTACTTTGACTAAACATTCATACCATCGTTTGCCAGATTGTTTCAATCCGTACAAACTTTTATTTAGTAACCACGTTTCATTTTTGTTTGTATATTGACTATGAGGTGCTCTTACATATATCTCTTTATCAAGTTTTGCGTGTAGATATGCAGTCTGTATGTCATATTGGAATACATCAAGGTTAAGTGCTGATGCTATAACTAAAGCTGTTTTGACACTCTCAGTTCTTACTGTGGGAGAGTATGTGTCTGTGTAATCCTCAGGATATTTTTGAGCATAACCCTGTGCAACTAACCTAGCTTTGTATAAAGTGTTGCCTTCTTCTAGATTTTTAATTTTATATATCCACCTGGTGCCTATAATAGTTTTATCCTTAGGTGCAGGTGTAGGTGTGAATACATTTAACTCTCTTAAACTATCCATCTCCTTGGCCATGGCTGATTCCCATTTTCTTCTTTCTTCGGGGGGAAGTTTTAATACTTCCTCGTATGTGTTTGGTGTTGATGTTTCGCTATCCATGTACATTACGTAATCTTTGTATTTGTTTGGCACTTGGTTTCTGTTACATCTGATTGCTTTTTCTGGTTTACTATCGTTATCATGTAAGTATCTTGCCTCCTTTTTTGTTAACGAATCTGTCTTTATTTTGTGTTGACTGTTTGTCCATGTTTTAGTTTTGTTTTTATGTGTGTTGTGATTACATTCTTCTCTGGTTATTTTATCCTGATGTTTAGTGTCTGGATTTGTGATTGGGAATATTTCATTAAGATGTATTTTAGACCAGTTGGCCTGTTCATGAAATACTGCTGTTCTAGAAATTATAAATTTGTTATTATTATCAATAAATCTGTACCCTTTTGTGCCTGTTTCGTATCCCATGAACCTAAGTCTTCTGGATACGTTCTCTCCTTTACGCCTCAATTGCTTTGGTATGTGTACATCTGCAGTGACCCCAAATATGTGCATGTGTGCTATCTTGGGTTTTCTATTGTACATTAGTTCATATGGTGTCTTGTTTATAATGCTGGACCAAGTTCTATTTTGTGTATAATTGGAATATTGTAATGCTTCTGACCAGAATTGTTTGCCTAAGCCAGCATCTTCCAATGTGCTTCTAATCATGGTTTGTAATGTCGAGTTCTTTCTCTCTATCACTCCATTTTGGAATGCAGAGAAAGGGCTAGACGTGAAATGTAGCATCCCTTTGTTTTTTAGCCATTGGGAGAATTCCTTTGACATGAATTCAGATCCCCTATCTGTCATAATTTGTTTTATTTTAATATTATGTTGCGTTTCTACACGTTTGTAAAACTCTTTGAATTTCTGAAAGGTTTCATCTTTGTGCTTTAAAGTATAGACAAACCCATAACGACTATAGTCATCTACAATAGTCAGAAAATAACGTTTTCTATATGTGATTGATGGTGTTAATGGACCAACTAAATCCATGTGTACCAAATCAAAAATTTTATTAGTTGATCTTGTTGCCTTTCTTGGTTTGGGACTAGTTCTGAGTTTTGTGGACTTACATACTGAGCATTCCAAATAGTTTTTACAATTTTTTATTTTAACACCTTCAGCATGTTCAATCATCTTTTGTACTATAGGAAAACTAGCATGTCCTAATTTCCTATGTAAAATATGCGCACATTCATCATGAATTGGTTTTCCAATTTTAGGTTTTTTGTCATTGGATGTGTCATTAATAGTTGTGTCTTCGTGACTATGAATTGTCTCATGTTCATCATCATCACTATTGCTATTGTCTCCATTATCTATGTCATTGTTTTCTTCCATGTTGGAATCAATATTGTGTAACCATCTTTCTTTTGTGGTTAAATATGGTAGACCTCCTTTGATAACCACACTACCTAAGCTTGTTTTGTTTTTCTCTAGTGTTGCTTTTCCTTTTGAGAATACTATATTTATGTCAGAATCTCTACTTAGTTTTATTGCACTAAGTATGTTATGAGGTATTTCTGGTATTAGCAATACCCCCTCTATTTTTCCTAGACCGGGTACGTTTACATTCCCTCTACCAATGACTTGGACTTTTTCTTGATTAGCTACTTTAATTACAAATTTATCTTCTATAAATGAAGATAATATACTTTTGTTATGTGTAGTGTGATTAGTTGCCCCAGAATCAATGAGCCAATCATTGTCCTCTGACTGTTGTGTGCTAGTTGTGTTATGTTTGTTTAATCCATTTAGTGAACCAGATCTTCTATCCTTTGAATTATCTCTGCCCCCTCTATGTTCTCTATAGTTGGATGGACTTCTATATCTATGTCTATCAATGGATGATTGTCTGTTATGGTATCTATTTCTATAGTCAGTTTTTTGTCTTTCTCTAAGGAATTTAGGACAATCTCTCCTATTATGTTCTTTAGATCCACAGTTGTGGCATTCAATTGATTCACGATATCTTTCTTGGAATGCTACCCTCTTATATTATTTATGTTCTACGTGGTTGTTACAACGACTCCTTCTTGAATTATCTTCAGCTATTAGCTTATTTGATAAATTTTCTAAGGATAAATACCCTAAATTGATTGTGTCTAAATGT